CTATAAGCAGTTTTCAACTAATGTCTTCATTTTCGTTTTCTAAGCAAGTGTTCATTTCCTTCTCAACCTCTTTTGTTGGAGGTCTATTTGTGGTCTTTGGGGTTAGTTGGCCTTCTCCGTTCCATTTTGGCCTCCATAATATGTTCACCGCCCAATTGGGGGGGGGGGGTTCTCTCACCTTGGTCATGTGGGGCTCAACACTTTTGTTGGTGTCGGCAAAGTGTTCTTCCTTATGTAATGGAGGCCTTTTGGTTGAGGTGGTTTCTTCGCCCTTCTCCATTTTCACATCTTCATCTCCAACATGAGGCATACATGCTCAAGCCGACAATTGTTGTAGGTGGTGGTACCTCATGGGGGAGTGGTTGTCGTTGTTAACTCATTGTGCCAGTTGACACGCCCTCACACATGCCTCTTCCATGCGTGGTCATGTGACACATGTTATCGAGGGCGTTCATATCTTTTTTGCCCTGGACGGAGTGCCGGAGTCTTTTTTGTTTTAACATTAAATGCAGATACTTTTAAAGGCTTATCTGCTCAGCCCCACCCGTCAAAACACTTATCCATAAAAAATCTCCTCATGAAGAACGTGATATTTTTTTAATAAATATGTAGGGACAACTAAAAAAACTACTTCTGGCCAAAAAAACTAAAAAATATATACCTCGATGAAGAGACAAATAGTGGGAGGAGTACCACATGCAACATCACTCAACACGTATACACCCAACAAAACAAGCAAACAAAAAAACTCACCACTGCCGATCTAACTACTAGTGGTGGTCATGTTTTTGGTACCCACCACGAGTAGTGTTGGCCCACGGCTAACCTGAACCCAGAAAACCAGTAACGAGCTGAAAAGGGCCCCCGTCATTGGTAACTTGATACCGGTGGTCAACATCTTTTCCCACCCGTCACTGATAGTGTTGGCCCACAACTAACCTGGATCCAGAAAATGAGTAACGAACTTAAAGGTGGCCCCATCACTGGTAACTTGATACCGGTGGTCAACATCTTTTCCCACCCGTCACTGATAGTGTTGGCCCACAACTAACCTGGATCCATAAAATGAGTAACGAACTTAAAGGTGGCCCCATCACTGGTAACTTAGTATCGGTGGCCGACATTTTTTTCCACCCGCCACTAATATCTGGCCAAAATAGTAGTGTTGGGGTCCTTTGTTTTTCCGCTATCATTATGACCCCACCTATAAGCAGTTTCCTAGTAATGTCTTCATTTTTGTTTTCTAAGAAAGTGTTCATTTCCCTTCTCAACCTCTTTTGTTGGAGGTCCATTTGTGGTCTTTGGGGGCTAGTTGGCCTTCTCCGTTCCATTTTGACCTCCATAATATGTTCACCAACCAATTGAGGGGCTTTCTCATCCCGGTCATGTGAGGCTCGACACTTTTTTTGGTGTCAGCAAAGTGTTCTTCCTGATTTAATGACGGCTTTTTGGTTGAGGTGGTTTCTTCGCCCTTCTTCATTTTCACAACGTCACACATCTCCATCTCCAACATGAGGCACACATGCTAATCACATCATTAGCCCATATAAGATTTTTCTAGGGAAATTAGCCCATATAAGTACTAATATAATAACTATCCTAGACCAAAGCCCAATAGCCCATGTCATTGTCATGTGGTTGTGGCCTTTTATTGTTGAGCACTGCTATATGCACGACACTATGTGCACGATTTACAAATGACAACCAAATCAGTCCATTGGTGCATGTGAACAGATGGCAGCACAACCACAGATGGGCGGTCGTGCACTGGTTGTTTGCCCCACATGCGATCGATTCTTTGATCATGTCCTCGCACTAGGGTCTAGGGCGTTGTTTGCAGCTGCCGTCCAGCCGCTGGCTGCCCGGCTCCCTCTGCCGCTCCCACTCAAGTAAGGCGCTCACCACGCCGCCGCCCCTACCCTATCGGCTGCGTTGATCTTTCGTCTTTGTCCACTGTTTGTCCAGTGTCTAAGAACTAAGGCAGGATGAGGAGGCTTCATTAGATCAGAGTTTTACCGGGAGAAACAAAGATCAGATAGAGGAAGGTACTAGCTCGTACTTGTAACTATCAGTTATTATGAATTAAAATCCTACTATCCTAGTATGGTGCGTTAGTGTCGACTATAAAATAGTGAATTAATCTATTAATCACGGTGATTGCATTAGGATATTGGATCTGCACAATTTAGCAACTGAACAAACGATCAAGAAAATTGGCTCTGTCGTACATCCTTGCTACTTAACGCTCTTCCTGTAAATCTTGGCGATCAATTCCGGATTAGATCAGAGGCGACGTCGGCGCCATCGTGAGCTCGTTAATTCTCCGGCCAACTAGCCAAGGTTAGCACAACTAACAACTGCTTGCTCATCTCGATCAGTTCCCACCTTATACCTATCAAATTTGTACATCAAATTTCAATTCTTTTAATTATGTGACTTGTAATGTCATTTTTAAGATTTATATTTATCAAGAGAAAAGGGTCGCCAAACACCAGAAATATTATTTCAGCTTAATTGTCGAGGGCATGTTTTCAAAGTAAAATGAGAGACGACTTGCTCGAGCATTGCATGAAAACTTACTTCGAAAGAAATTCAGAACTGAGTTCTCTTCTAATGAAATTGTTAATATACTTTATGTTATTGAAATTTACCGAGATTATATAACTAATTCAAATGTAGCTACCACATGTCTATACTCTATAGCAATGAAGCGGTGTTTTTTTTTCCAACTTTGCTTCGTCCCCCTATGTCTAAATCCTGGCTCCACCCCTGCTCACGGGGGAGTGGTTCTCGTTGTTAACTCATAGTGTCAGGTGACATGCCCTCACACATGCCTCTTCCGTGCGTGGTCATGTGACACATGTTATCAAGGGCATCCATATCTTTTTGTTGCCCTGGATGGAGTGCCGGGTCTTATTTATTGTTTTAACATTAAATGCAAATACTTTTAAAGGCTTATCTGCCCAGCCCCACCCGTCAAAACACTTATCCATAAAAATCTCCCTCATGAAGAACATGGGATTTTTTAATAAACAAGTACGAGGCCTGAAATTCCTCCAAACCAAAAAAGACCTCAACATGTATACACTCAACAAAACAAAACAAAAAACTCACAAATGCGTCTAACTACTTCGGACGCACTGCAATCAGTGAAGGAGGTTACACACAAATCCCACCTTAACACTCCAGGGCGTATGGTGCCATTATTAAGACCCAAAAGGAAGTGTGATTGTGCATGCCAGGAAGGAAGAAAGGAACATGCAGCTATTAATTGGTAGCTAGTACTATGAGCGAGCAGATGGCTCCACTTAATTAGTGCTCAACACATGAATGCACTCTGTACTTCCTTAACAAGGAATTCTCCCACTGCTATTAGTTTGTGCAAGAAGTGCTCTTAATACAAATAGTAAATCAGTCAATTAATCAACCAGACCTACTACACATAAAAAAACCAATCGTTCAGTCACAAATTATCCATGCCCTCTCACCGTAAGGCTGGTTATAGTGGGGAGTAACTTAGACTAGTGGCATGCATATGACACTAGTCTAAGTTACTACCTTTATAATGCAAAGTAACATACTGATACTAGTATCATAGATGACTTCATTTATTAACTCGTAGACTCATCTTGTTTTGAAAAGCGTTATGTTACATTAACATATTATGTTATTATCTCTCATTAATTACTTGCCACATAAGCAGAATTTTCTCGAAGTGCGCTATGTTACTAGCTAAGTTACTCCCACTATGACTAGCCTAATAAACTTGTACTCCATTTGTAAACTAATACCGTATAAGATCTTTTAGGCTAGTCATAGTGGGAGTAACTTAGGTGGTAACATAGCGCACCTCGAGAATTTTTTGCTTATGTGGTAAGTAGTTAATGAGAAGTAGTAACATAATATGTTACTGTAACATAGCGCTTTTCAAGACAACATGAGTCTACAAGCTATTAAATGAAGCCACATATGACACTAGTACTATGTTACTTTGCACTATGAAGGTATTAACTTAGACTAGTGTCATGCATATGACACTAGTTTAAGTTACTCCCCACTATGACCAGCCTTAGATCTAGTAGCATCATTAATTATACTCAACCATAAAAATGAACTAGATCCCTTATAATAATTGCCTTTATGAATTGCCATAAAACCATTAATTAGTACTCCTACTACATCCACAGTCATCATCTTCTCAAATCAAATATGAAACCACTCACTTCCCTCTCTAAAAGCTGAGCAGAGCGGAGCTACCCTCTCTCTCTCTAACCACCCACTCTGGTCAGTCATCACCCCCACCACAACCCCATGCCCTCCACCATTTCCATCGACAGTTACTGCTCTCTCTCCTCCCAACCCTAATCCCTCTCTCTAGACAGAGCGAGCGAGCGAGCGTGTGCCTTTTGAAAGATCCCTTCTTTTCCCTTTCAGCTCCTCCTCGCCCCAATCCTTCTTTTGTCACGAGATGTGGCTCGCCCCAAACTAGCACCACCACCACCACCACCAGTAGAGCAAGAGACGGAGCGCGGCGAAAGCTCGGGCAAAGCGGCAGCGTCGGCAGATTCCCGGGGCGTCGCCGCTATTTTACCACCCCGGCCGATTCACCGACGGAAGATCCAACCCCCACCCCACCCCAGCCCAGCTGTCGGCGGCCCCCTAACCCCCGGGGCGCCTTTATCCACCGGGGATTTCTCGTCGTTTCTCGGGCCAGAGGCGGCGCCGCTCTGGACTTCTTCCGCCGCGGTGGCCTCATATAGCTCCGGGCCTCGATCCGCTGGTTTTCGGCGGGGCCGGGGGAGGCGGTTCCGGATGACTTCTTGAGCCGGGTTGCGGCGTCCGCCCCTCTTCGTCGAGCTTGTTCGATTGGTTTGGGGGAAAGTTGGTTCTTGCGGCGCCCGGCGAGCGGTTCCGGCGTGGCTCGGTTCCAATCGGGGGAAATGGCGGCCCTGCGGCCCCGGAGTTGACCAATCTGGTCTGGCCGAGCGCTCGCGGCTGCCATGGCGGATTTGGGGCTCTGGAACCAGGGGTGGACGTGGGTCCTCTCCCAGAAGCACGTCGTCGCCTGGGCGCACGCCGCGGCGGGCTGCGGCAGGGACCGCCTCGCCTTCCTCGTCGACCGCCACTGGCCGGCCGTGTCCCGGGCCTGCGCCAGCTCCTCGCGCCTCCTGCTCGAGGCGCTGAGGCAGTGGCGGGGCTGCACGGCGCGGGGCCTCCTCGCGCTCGCCAGCCTCGGCCCCGCCGCCGTCTTCGTCATCCTCTGGAGCTGCTTCGTGTGCATGACCTCCTCGGCCTGCGCCCTCTACGCCCTCCTCGGCCTGGTTCGTGCTGCAAATCATAATCATCCTCACCTGCTGCTTTGGCAAAGCAGCCCGGATGTTTACTGGATAAGGATTTGTCATGCGCTGCTTTCGCTATCTGATTGTGGATTGCATGTTAGGCTGCATCTTTACTAAAGTAGCATAGTTGAAGTAGTAATTGCTGGTAAAGTAGAACGCCATTAAACTATCACATGATTGATTGGCTTGATGTATTACTGCCTAGTGTAATCTGATGTCATGCTTTAGTGCTCGTTTATGCCATTTCTAGATTCTATCTGTCCACTGTTAGAGACGTTTGGAAGTTTGGTCTACTTCCCCTGGGGGATATCTGACCTTTTCAGCTAGATTGCACCACTGAATCAGTAATCGGCAGTGAAATAATGGAGAAAAAATAGGGTCATCTCTCCTGTTGTTTTCTCCCTGCCACTTTTCTTATTGCAATGCAGACAATGTCTCTTGTTCCATCATCATCTAATATACATACTTACTTAATTAGTACGACCTCTGTAAGGTAGTAACTTCTGCTTTCAAGTAAGGATACAAGTTTCCCATGTAAGAAGGATATATCAGAAGAGGTTATGTTATCTGATTGTTTGATGGTGCACTGTTTCAGGGAGCTGTTGCGGCAGTCATTCACTACATGGGCTATACGCCTGGCCTTCTTATTGTAGGACTGTTTGGAATAATGATTATGTGGATGTATGGCTACTTTTGGATTACCGGCATGCTTCTGGTTGCTGGAGGTTGTTCATCTGAATTGCTTCTGATGTTGCCTCATTCGGCCTATTTATTTGATCATCCTCATCTAATGGAGGCTCCTCTGTGGTCATGCAGGTTGTATGTGTTCTTTGAAACATGCACGATTTGTCATACCTGTCTTGGCTATGTATGCTGTTTATTGTGTGGCTGTTCGTGTCGGGTGGCTTGGAGTTTTCTTCACGCTGAATCTCTCTTTTCTGACAAATGATCTTCTGAACAAGCTGCTGCAAGGATATGAGGGAAGCACGGAAGAGAGACCATTTGAAGAAATGAAGGATTCTGATCCAGCCACGGATGCCTTCTTTCGTGGCTGTGAATATCCCCCTGCTCCTGAAAGTGAACCAGAGACCGTGTCGTCTGCAAAGCCCTTTTGCGCAGCACCTACCCAAGACGTGTTACATGTACAGAAGGAGCCATCTCCTAGTAAAATAGTGAAATCAAATTCTACTTCGTTGGACGAGATGAAGAGGATAATGGATGGTTTGACCTATTATGATGTTTTGGGCATCCCTCGGAGCAAAAGCATCAATCTGATCGAATTGAAAAAGGAATACAGAAAACTGGTAATAGACAACAGCACTTTAAGCTGAACGATCATCCATGTTTCTGTTACTTATTTTCCTGGTGCATTTTGTCTGTCTAGGCAGTTCTTGTCCATCCTGATAAAAACATGGGGAATCCATTGGCGTGCGAGTCATTCAAGAAGCTTCAGTCAGCTTTTGAGGCACGTACTTGGGAGTATATGCCAACTTTGGGCTTTCTTTCGTAGAGTTTTCTCAAATCTGACAGTGTATCATTTCTTGATCACAACTGTGTTATTTGACTCTTGATAAAGGTAACCGGTCTAGTCGTACCTCCATGCAGGTACTCTCAGATTTAACGAAGAAAAATGGCTATGATGAACAGCTGAGGAAAGAAGAATCACGGCAAATGACTCAGAGATCACGTGTTGTCTCTCAACCGGTGGGTTCTTGTCCTTGTAAATAACTAAATATGGAATGTAGATGTCTTTGATTTGCACATGATCTTGTTAAGTTTGGGAGCACACAATGCGATCTCTAGTATTCTGCACATTCCCCTTTGTAATGTACCTTCTGATATTATTATCCTTTGGAGCTCATTCGTATTGAAAAATCCCTCAGATACCACGTGCTACCCCTCAACAGATACTCTTATTCTGTTAGTATGGAATTTAGTCAGTTATCTTCTATTGTTTTGTCACTACGGAATTCAGTTAGTTATCTTCTGTATGTAACCTGGTCAATTTCTTAAACAAGGTGATTTATGCGCGACCCTCCTGTTTTGGACAATCTTGTTTGATACTGTTTTCTTTGTATAACTCATTTATAATTGAAAAATGAAGTCAATTGATAAATATCTTTTTTGCAGAGTGGGGTAGAGTTTCTCTCTGAGGAGTCCAGGCGTATACAGTGCACAAAATGTGGTAATTTTCATTTATGGATATGTACCAAGAGAAGCAAAGCAAAAGCAAGATGGTGCCAGGTTAGGAGCCCAGCATGTACTTTTAGGGCATTTGTTAACTGAGAGCATCGCTCCAGCTAATTTGCATGAATTGTGTGCTTGCAGGATTGTTCCCAATACCATGTTGCCAAGGACGGAGATGGGTGGGTGGAAAATAGATATTCTGCATCCTTGAAGGTACAGTTCTGTGTCTAAATAACATGTAAACTTCATTATATTTTTATTTTACCTCAGCGTTAGTTTAGATGGAAGCACCTATTGCAGTCATCTTGGGTTTATGGAATGAACTACTGGGAACCAGTGGTTTAAACAAAGGGAGAATGAGATTTATATAGAAGAAGACATAATCTTCTGAATCCTGGCACTCTGCACAGTGCACACCTATTTGGTAGAAAACTCAACGAGGTGTTTTTCATGAGTGAAAACCTCAGTCCCTTCGTACTCGCTTATACTGCTTAAACTGGGCTAGTCTATACTGCCTGAGGCCGATGTTGGGTTTGAGCAGATTTGTTCATTTGAGCTGTAAGAACCCCAGAATGTTTTGCTTCTGATCGTAGATCATCTAAGGATATCTATGTTGCTAAAGTGGATGCTCAAAGTACCTTGAATTTCTAGCTTATCTCAATCCTGGTATTCTAAAGTGAATTGCTTAAGCAAATTCTGCTGAATACAAGACATCACCGAGGAATCACTAACTTAAAGCATGCATGTGTATTTTGCCACTGCAGAAAGTAATGTCCAATATAACTTAAATTCTGTTCTTTCTTGATTGTTCACTCCAGATAGAAATACCAAGAGCTTTTGTCTGTGCGGAGAGTAAAATATTTGATGTATCTGAGTGGGCTACTTGCCAGGTGAGTCTGTCTCCATCTATCTTGTCATGTTTGATTTGATTATACATTTCAGTTATTTACATGCATATTTACTTGCCATAATAAATGTCTCAAGTGATATGCTTTAACTTTTAGTCGCTTCCTTGTTGACGTCGGCAATGATCCATGTTTGATTCACTGAAAAAGACATCAGATAGACTGGATTAGAAGGATCTGTTATCTTGAAAATTCGAATTCATTTCTTGTTTCAAATATTCCCTTGTTGCATACCATATCTCAACAGATTGGTGTAATTTTTCTACCGAGTGTACAGCCCCATGATAATTGTGTTTGTCCAAAAGAAAACTTATTGGAGGGTTTGTATGCATTCCTTGCTTTATGTGGTTAGGCTCTGCTGTTTTATTTGTTTATAGTGTATTCATGAGTATACTGGCTGAATTTAGTCTTTGTAGTTTAGCATAGTCCAGATTGCTCTACTTTGTAAATAGGTTCAGTTGGTTGTTCGATCTTGTAAGGTGGATAGAATACCAACTTCCTTTTAGAGTAGGGACCATGTTAAGCTCTCTAGAAAGTAGGACCCAGAACATGTATTGCAGGTAATATGATGGCCACATCAACTGCTGACATGCCATTTTCTGATAGTAAGGAAAGGATGTTGCGGTGTTATATCTGAAAAATGGGCAACACTTCTTTAACCCATTCTGTTTTTGTTAATAATCCAGGGAATGGAGTGCAAACCAAACACTCATGGTCCAACTTTTATGGTGAACATGGTTGGTGCGGATAGGATGCCTCAGCGATCTCACAGTTCTCGGTATCCCTTTAGCCTGGACGCCGAGATGATCCCTGAAGACGAATTTGAGCTGTGGCTTCAGCAGGCATTGGCGACGGGCGTCTTCTCTGACAGCCCGAAACGAAGGAAAAGCTGGAGCCCCTTCAAACTGCCTCAGAAAGGGATCAGAAGTTGGCGGCGATCGTCATGAGGGTGTGACGTTAAATAGCATGGCTACATGGGGCCTCAGATGGTAGCAACATTGGGAAAAAGGCAATAATACAAGGGTTTGTATTTGTAAATAGACTGACCAAAAAAATTTGCCTGGACGAGCAACTAATTTTGTCCGAAAAGAGAAACGACAAGTAAAAGGAACTCTTAAATGAAAAGACAGTGAACCTGACTGAGTGACTGTTGAAATTAGTTTTCTCTGCCATGGGTTCCCACGAGTTGTTTCAGAGAAAGACCAGGCATGGAGTCGAAACACGAGTAGCTCTTCGGTGTGCGAACTCCATCAGTGCAAGGATCGATGACGAAAAGAATGGTGACCTGGATTACAGGAGCAAATTCTGCGGGTGTTGCGCTGCTCTTTCTGAAACATCACCGAAGGGAAGATGCTCTGTTCATGGAAGCAGCAAGTTTTGTGAAGCTCATTCTGGAGAAGAGAAGGGGGAAAAGGAAGAAACCTGAAAAGAGATGGCAGAAACTGGCTGCTGTGTAACCATGGGAAACCCTGCATGAGAAATGCAACTCACTCACTGCTCTGTAACATTATACCCTGATAATACTAACATCCTGTGGAAAAACTACCATAATCCAGGTTTGTCCTGTGACACGCCATGTGCCGCGCTCTGTAACATTTCGAGGGGGTAATAGTGATCTTGTCCTGGATTGTCTCCTAATTAGTACTATTTATGTTGCTGGTTAATCTGTTTTCCTGTGTGTACTGATTTGCTGCAAGTGAGTGGCGGCTGATATAGACAGATCACACGTGCACTCTATTTTTAGGCTGGCTATGGTTATTTGTCTGTCTAGAGGTTATTTTTAGGCTGGATCAGGCTATGGTTTTCAGTTTTGGCATGTTTCCTCTGTCTGAAAATCTTTCACATTTCTGGGGGGTGGATCCTCCCTCCTCTTCTGGAATAGCACTGTTATACCATCTTGAGCCCACGCCAAGGGAAGAATGTGTCATCTATGAATGTATGTGGTAGTTGCTAAATCAGTAGGAACAAAAATGCATTACAGCTACAAGCGATGTCCACTGTTTTGTCCCACGGTCCGAAATAGCGATGCCCCGTTTGGAACACATGAATTTTGTGGCAAAAAGAAAAAAAAAACTCATTTTCTGATGAAATCGAGAAATGAAAAACACGTTGGATAGAGGACAATGTCTACAAGGAGGGGAGATGAAAGTGACTTCAATTTTATTTTTTCAATCATGTTTCATGGGCACTATTGTCTTTCTTTACGAAAGGAATTTGGTGGTAGCTGTGGGTGGTACTCTGGGTTTCTTTTAGTGGGATTGGATGCTGGGTCTAAATCTAAATTATTATTAAAAGGGTAGTAACAAATGGGCGGCTGATGGTACAGCATATACTAAGTCAACATAACATGCGGATAAACTCGTGCTGTGTCAGAGGATTACAATTACTCGATGTGACTAAATCCCTTTTTGTCAGTTAATGAATGCAAAGTACGGCCACTTCACCAATGGGATCAAGGTGGAGATCATGCAAGGGATTAGCAATATACTCTATGAGTAGGTACAAATACGTACTGAAATGAAAAGATCAAACAGAGAACGGATGATCACATCACTTTCTTTTTTAGAAAAGGTGGATGACCTCGGCCTCTGCATCTGGAAGATGCATACGACCACTTTATTGATTATTTTCATTGATCTTACAAAGTATTACAACAATATGCCTGAATCCGTCATCTTGGTAACATATGTCACTACTCCTATCCATATGATGAAGGGATGCTAGCTGGTCCAAATACCCAGACCACTCACCTAAACCTACCATCAAAAGCCGAAAGCCCCAGCCGAGCCACATACCGGATCTGGGGCACAAACCGGTCTGAAGCACTCACATGTGTCGTCGCCGCCATCTTCCACAGGTCCGTCTTCAGAGCAGATATTGAGGCTTCTACCTTGTTAGGCCACTCTGCAATAGACGCCACCATGACGCCAGACAGCCACCTCCTCCTGCGCGAGTCCATCTACACGCATCGGGCGTCAAGTCTCCGCTGCGCCACGCCGCCGAGATCCGCCGTCTTCGATGCGGAGGAGGAAACACCGCTCCACCTCTGAGCGCATCGCCGGCCACCTGCCGCGATGTCGTGCAAGTCCAGCTCTGGGAAAGCACGCAGGGAATCACGATCTTCAAGACGACGCCCTCAGGAGGGGAAGCGATGTCATGCCATCGTCTGGTCCTGCATCGCAGGTCCTGGACTTTCACCCGAAGAAAGTGACCCGAGAGCGGAGGAGGTCGGAGAACTCCACAACGGCCCCCAGGAGGAGAGCGACATCCGCAGACACCGCGCCGTCGACTTTCGCCCGGACGAGGATGGGGGAACCCCAGCGCCGCCAGCATGCGAACCCACTGGCCCAAGCACCTCATGCGCGGCGGCGGCGCCATCACCACGCACGACCACCAACCTCACCGCCGACCGAAGCCAACGGGCCAGATCGGCCGAGCCCGCCATGGCCAGATCTGAAACCTCAGGACGCCGTCGCATCGAGGCAGCCACGAGCAGCCGGCAGCCCATCACCTGCGAGAGGTCGAGGATGCCGCGCCGAGCAGCCGCCACGTCGGCCGGAGACGCCGAGGACGAGACTCCCACAACCACGGGCTCACGCCGGCGACCTAGGCCGCCGAGTGAGCGGAGATCCCCGCCGCCACCGTCCTCCGACGCGGGCTTCGCCCGGTGGACTCATCCAGCGGCGGCGGGAGGGGGGGCGTTCCTAGGGTTCCCCCGAGCCGCCCTAGGGATGATCACATCACTGCCAGTTAAATGGTACTCCCTCCCTCTGTTTATAAATATAAGAAGTTTTGAGTATTTTAATATGAATTACATACAGACTGAAATAAGTAACGAACTCTCTAAAGCATCTATATACATCCGATTCAAAAAAAGTTAGGACATCTTATATTTATGAACAAAGAGAGTAGCAAATTAACACAACACTCTTCACATTCATTCGATTGTTGTGTTCATAGAGTTTCTTTGATTCGGAGCATTCCCAAAACAGTAGGACTAGAAAAAGAAAACACAGAAATAATATATGGTTGCATGTGCGCAACTGAGGATTACGGAAACATGAAAATTTTGAGGCGCCTGGTGGTTGATTCGAAGGAAACACGTGGATCCTAAGATTATAGCCAAATCAGAGTTAAAACACATTAAAAAGGTAATATATTATTATTAGTCATTATATTTTGCGGGGAAGATTATATTATTATTTCTATTCAACTTATATCATTCGACTTTTTGTGTGTGCATAGGTGCAAAAATGAGGATTGAGTGCATTGTAATTTTTTCTCAGACTCAAACCAATGGGGAAAAAATCCTCCTTTTCCATAGGCTGTTCCTTTGAAGTTCAAATTTTGATTTGCATCATACTTCCTCCGTCCCAAAATTCTTGTTTTAGATTTGTCTAAATACAGATGTATCAAGTCACATTTTAGTATTAGATACATCTGTATCTAGACGAATCTAAGACAAGAATTTTGAGACGGAGGGAGTATAAACCAATAGTGTCACCATAGAAAAAAAATCATATATTTTCCCTCCACCTTCCTATGAATCAAAGAGGCCCTTAGGCCCTTATTAGAAACCGGAGAGCCAGGGACGGGCATGGTCCTAAGAGATTCAAAGGGGAAGGTCACTTTCTCTGCATTTTTTTATCTTTTCCATTGCAAAGATGCGCTTGAAACTGAAATTACTGCGATAGTCAAAGGCCTGTCATTGAGCATTCATCGGTCGAATCTTTCACTAATGATCCAAGCCAATAGTTTTGTTGCTACTGCTGTTCGGATGACTCGTTGGCTCGCACCGCCTATGAATGCCTAATGACAGAGATTAAGAAGCTTCTAGAGACGTGTGGGTTTGTTCCGTTAAGATTGGTCGTTCTGGATGTAGCATCGCTTGTTGGTTGCATCGAGTTCCAGACAGCGTCATTGAGCTTGTGTTAACACTATTTCAGGGGGAAGAAAACCCACCATTATCCCGCAAGAAAGTATATATATTCTGCTGGTTAGGTAGAAGGCAAAATATATCCGTTTGCGACTTGATTATATGTATATATGAAAAAAGGCAACAGGGTCACCGGACTATGTAAAAGTTCACAGCTTGACCTAACATAATCATCACCCAATCCACCACCGGTGTGAAAGAAAGACCAAGTTATTCCATAGACCAAATGAATGAATAAACAAAAGATAAACCACAAAGAGCAGAGGCATCACCAATGCTTTCCAAATGAAAAAAAAAAGTTATGAAGAGATGCACGGTTAGCTGGTTTCTTCGACAATTTATTATTGTAGAGGAGATGCTCGTGATGCATTTCTTAATACCAGTAATAGTACTAGTATTTAGTAGGGCTAGTGGATGACCAGAAGAGACAAGCATGAACGTTGGCATCGGGCTTAGCACAGCTGATCAAGGCAAAAGCTAGCGCTAAAGTGACCGAGCCAACTCCACTACAAGTACAAACCAACCAATCAATCAACACAAGACGAGGCATCACCTTAAACAAAACAAAGCAGCTGTTGAGCTCTGCTGCATCAATTCGAAGTAAAGACGCGAAAGCAAAGTTTCGTGCCCGGTGTTCGAACTGTTTCCATGATAACGTCTCCATCTTTTCTTCACAAGTTCAGAAGAAACCAATGAAATCTTTTGAAATAAAGCGAAAAAAGGAATAACAAATGGAGCGTCAGCCCAGAACATCTATGAGGGAGCCACCACCCGCCTACACCACAAAGCGAGCTCCACTACACATTTTGGGAGTCGTACATCGATGCCACCTATGAGGCCGAGTGACTTTCACCACTCGGCCGCGGGCAAGGCTTTGTCCTCCGACTCCGACCAAACGTCAATGAATCTGAAACTCCGTCGTAGTTGCAATGTCGACATTGCCTATCTATCTATCTATCTATCTATCTATCTATCTATCTATTTAGTAGTGTATCAAAATGTCGCCTCTCA